TAGTTAGTTAGTTAGTTAGTTAGTTAGTTAGTTAGTTAGTTAGTTAGTTAGTTAGTTAGTGTCCTGTTCTGCCTGCATACCAGAAGAGGGCACCATATCTCGTTATAGATGGTTGTGAGCCACCATGTGGTTTCTGGGAATTGAACTCAAGTCCTCTGGAAGAGCAAGCAGTGCTCTTAACCTCTGAGCCATCTCTCCAGCCCCTAATAACCTTTTAAAATGACTTGGCATAATGCTTAGAACATGGAAATATATTTTTATGTTACAAAATGTTTTTGGAAGATGGTAACATAATTGAGATTAGAATGACTATGCCAAAACCTAAACTCTTAGAAATTAAAACATCATTATAGTGATTTAATATATAATAATGAATGGTTGCATCACTAGGATGCTTTGATTTTGTATGCTCCAGTGCAAAGAAACACCCAATAGATTTGGTACCAGAGGCTCTTGTTCTGGTGTCAGGTGGCCTCTGTAAGAGCCAGTTTATATGCAGAGCTGATATACAGGGCTCCCATTCAGTCTTATCCCTCACCTTCCACTGTCTCCTTGAAGGAATTCATGCACTCCCACTTGTCTGACATGTATAAATTGCTCACAGACCACTGTGTTCAATTGGTAAGTCTTATTCAGTCATATTCCTTTCCGTGTGTGAATATTGAGGATAACATGTCCGCTTAAAGTGTATATCTCTGTGAGGTTTCATATTTCACTGAATTTCAAGTCATTTTTATCACACCCTCCAAAACCACATCCTCATTAATAAGCATTTCCTTTCTCTCCTCCCCAAAACTAGCAACCACCAGCTGCATTCTGCGTCTGCATATTTCCCTGTTTTAGATATTCATGTACTCAGTGTGAGGCAATGCATGTCCTACTGTGACTGACATTTTTTTAATTAGTGTATAATTTTTTAATTTATCTATACTGAAATGTGCGTCCTTGTTAATTACTTTTCATGGCTGAGTAATACCACTGCATGAGTCATCAGTCCTTATTTTGTTCAACTTTAACTGCTGGACATGTGGGTTTTTGATATATTAAACTAAAAATGTTCCTTGATGTCTCATTGTCCAAGTGAAACTATATCATGCATGAAAAGTATATTTAATATATCTAACCTACTGTATCAGTTTATTTTCATTGTTTATCACCCATTGTTGTGATAACACACTCTACAGCAGCAAAGTAAAGGAGTGAGGATTGATTTTACCTTGAAGATTGAGAGTGCAGTCTGTCCTGTAGGGACATGCTAGCAGTGAGAGCTTCAGAAAAGTAGCCGAGTTGTGTCCACAGTTAGGAAGGAGAGAGCAGTGGCTTCTTGTGCTCTGCTGGCTCTCTCCTGTTATTTAGTGAGGGGCCCCAGCCCAAAGAATGGTGCCACCCTTCTTGGGTCTTCTGACCTGAATTAACCTAATCTAGATAATCTCTTTCAGGCATGGATGCCAGAGACTAACCTAATCTAGATAATTCCTCACAGATTTGACTAGAGGCTCCTCTGATCTAGAGAATCCCTCAAAGGTAGGGCCAGTGTCTAGTCTAATCTAGAGAATCCCACATGGGTGTGCTTAGAGGCTTATTTCCAAGGGGCTCCAGATCCTGTCAAGTTTATGCATCAATATTAACCCTCATACCCCACCAAACAGCATGGCTTCCTTAGCCTAATCTATCCTGAACATACTCGGGACAATTATATAAGCCTACACTCAGACAAATGTATCTAATACAAACCCTACCTTGTAATGAAATGTTAAAAATATCATGTTCACAAAGAGGGAGCAGTTTGTAGTTGATACACGATCAAAACCATAAAATACAACATCCCTGCCCCACTGGTAGCACAGTTCATTACAGACTATCATTTACCTTCCCACCCCACAGTGGGAGCTGGAAGGTCCCATCACTGCTCAGCATTGTAAGAGGCCATTGTACTGTACATTGCTAACCCAGGAAAAGACCAAACTTCAAAACTCAAAGCATGGTTTCTATAGCATGCACATCTGGAAATAATATGATCTGAAAATTATGCATCAATCTACCATGTTAGAGATCATCTATATTATAAACAATGTTGCCATGAACGTTTGTGTACATTTTTCTGCGGGGACATTTCCTTTTCATTTTTTCCTAGGGCATATATAGCTAGGCAAGGGACTTCTGAGACAGACAGCAACTGTGTCAACACTCAGCAAGCTGCTTTCCAAAGTTACTACATTGTTTTACATCCACACCAATGAAGATTCTAATTGCTTGACATTTTCCCTCAAAGCTTGTGCTTGCTGTTTTTCTTCTTGTTTTTCTTCTTTGTTGGAGATACAATATCCCTGTTTCTGTGAACATGGTGTCTCACTGTGAGTTTGATTTAAATTTCCCTAATGAAAAGTGACACTGAGGATATGTTCACACACTTGTTACAGTTTGTGTAGATCAGGCCTTTGGAGAGATGTGCATTCAAATAACTTTATTTTTAACTCAATTCACCATCTCTTATTGTTAACCAGTGAGAATTATTTCTTTACCTTTCCTTTATTTATGGAGAAAAGCTATCCCTCTGAGGTCCCAGTAGCCCAAAGTGTCCTTAAATTTCTGGTCTTCTAGCCTCTACTTCCCAAGTGCTCAAATTACAGGTGTCTGCCACCATGCCCAGGTTTCTAAGTATCTTCCTAAGCACAGAAGTATTTTTTTTTATTTTAATGTAGTCCAATTTTTCCCTTTTGGTTGTTGCTTGTGTTTTTCATGTCATATATAAGAAACTGCTGCCTACGCAGGAATTACAGATTCACTCTTGTATCTTCTTGTGGAAGTTTTATGGTCTGGCTTTATGGTTAGGCTAAAGGTCTTTTGTTTTTAGAAACAGGGGCACAATGCTAATTCTGGAAAAGTGAGGGACAGGAGACACAGGAATGACTTTCTCTTGAGAGATGGCATAGAGGGTGACAGGTGTCCTCTTATCTACTTATCTCCCCTCTCAAAGGTTTTTGGCCAGTGATGGAGTCTCCAAAGAGAGAAACCTGGCGGTGCCAACTCCAGGCCTTCCTGTGCGGAGTGTGGGCTTCCTGTGTCCCACTTTACAGCCCTTTCACCTCACTGGGTAACTATTATCATTTGCCATTTTTACTCACACATACAGGGAGTAAGTAACAAACCAACACATTTGTACATCACAATCAGAAAAATGATGCCATACATTTCTAATATACTATGCAACTTATTTCCTTGTTAGGCATTACTAGTTCCCCAAAGCTGTACTCCTCAAAGTGATAAAATTCTAGCCTTTCTCCCAAGGTAGTCAGAGTGTTTAATAAATGACTGACCTGCAGGTATCTGAATAAGACATAGGAAGACTCTTGCGTTGCCTTGGTTCCCCTCCCCCCCAGAATGAAGTGTCTTTGGTCACTGACATTCCTTGTCCCTCCCTGGAACAGAATCACTGTAACATTCTTTCCTTTCAGGCAAATGTTCTGCTCAAGATCTGAAGTTCCAGTGACACTGTTAGTGTTTGGCTGGTCAAGTGGGGACAAGTTCAAGTAGACACAGATGGATCATTATTCTTGTAGATGATGAACTGCAGGCCCTAACACTCAGCTCCTCTTCAAATGTGATAAACTGTACTAGTGTTTGTTCTTCTCTTGCTGCCTATGAGAGACATCTAGGAAGATATTTCTACTGATGCACTCACAATGCAGTTGCCTCATTTGCGGATTCTACAGATGCCAGTGATTGACCGGGCATTGTCTGGGCAGGAACACAGTGGTTGTAGCTGCATTGAACATGTACAAACTATCTTAAATATTATTCTCTAAACAACACCACCCAAAAAGAATTTCATACTATTTACATCTTGCATATATTATAAGTAATATAGAACTGATATGGACTATACAAGAGGATGTATAAGAGTAATCTATAAACACTGTGGATGAAGAAAAACCCAGATTTTTCGTCAAAGGCAGTAAGACTTATTCTGGAGCCAGCTAGACCATGGCCAAGGAACACAAAATCAAGGTTTCCCAAATTTCATGTTTCCATGTGACCATAGTTTCATGAAAATTTTATAGTAATGGAACTAAGAAAATCACAAATCAACACTTTTCAAACATATTGCTAGAAACATCAGTGGGTTAAAGCAAAGCGGGGAGCCTCTGCCATGGGCCTTTGATGCTGTCTGAGGATAGTCTTATCTCCTAAGTTGATGAAATTTAGTGATCTGCTAAATTAATGTACCCAAACAGTTTTGCACAATTATCACAAGAATGTTAGGTGACATACAAAAGCGAGGAAGGAACAGCTACTAAGGGAGCTAAAGATACCTCCCCCAATCTCTTCCAGCCAGACTCAGGACCTGCAGTAACCCAACCTTTCTCTCCATAATCTCTGCAATTCTCATCAGCCTTCTTTTTGGGTGGTGTTGTTTAGAGAATAATATTTAAGATAGTTTGTACATGTTCAATGCAGCTACAACCACTGTGTTCCTGCCCAGACAATGCCCGGTCGATCACTGGCATCTGTAGAATCCGCAAATGAGGCAACTGCATTGTGAGTGCATCAGTAGAAATATCTTCCTAGATGTCCCTCATCTAATGTCTTTTGGGGAACTTTGTTCACGTGGTCGATTAGTGTCTAATGAATTTGAACCAAATCCCAACCTACTGCGGCACTGCAGAAAAAGCTTTATGTAGTAATGAGTGAAGTCAGAAGCCAGATAACCGGGTATAGAAGATTTTCTTGTCCTGTGGTCTTCACCTTTTTTGTTGAAGAATGAAAATTACAGCCATTCTGCCAGCTCTAGCTCAGAACATGCTAAACTGATTAGTTCTTACAATTTAAACAACCTAGAACAGTCCCTACCTCGAATCTGACCTCACAAGCAGTGATTCAGGCTATGGATTTTAATCCTACAACATTACAGAGTAATAACAAATATTTTCCTATGCCACTTACATTCACACATGCATACCTAAAGGCCCAGGCTTTATCTGTCAATACTCTATACTCCAAAAATCTTGATATGACATGTAATATAATGACACCAACTCAGTCTCTTTTGTAAAACACATAACTATGATAAAATTTAGGGGGTTGGTGCTTCGGTTCAGCAGTTAAGCCACTGGCTGCTCTTCTAGAGGACCTGGGTTCAATTACCAGCACCCATGTGGGGGCACCATGTGGTTACAACTGTCTGTAACTCCAGGTCTGAAAGGTTTGGTACCATTTTGATCCCTCAGGCACTGGCATGTACACAGGGACATAGATATATATGCAAACAAAACACTCACACATACAGTAACAAAGTAAAATCTAAAAATTAAATGTTCTGAATGCTAGGACAATTAAAAATAAAACAAATGTTCTGAGGCATTTTGAGCAGAGCAATATTGTCAAGTAATTATTCATAGATATTGAGGACTGTTTCTATTCATTCTTATTTATAGTTTTGTTTTTATAACAGCCATTGGTTTTGTCTATATATAATTGATGTGCTCAAGATTAACTTGCTTGTTCTCCTAGAAACTGTTTTCATTCTTGCCATTTTCCCAGAGAATCGAGCAACAAATAACTTTTTAAATACAGCTTTTACATAGCACAGCCAACATGTAAACCCATGTTTGAAAATCTATCTATGGGGGCTGGAGAGGTGGCTCAGTGGTTAAGAGCACCGCCTGCTCTTTCAAAGGACCTGGGTTCAATTCCCAGCACCCACATGGCAGCTCACAATGGTCTGTAACACCAATTCTGAGGGATCTGACACCTTCACACTAATGCACATAAAATTAAAAAAATAAATGAAAATTAAAAAAGAAAATCTATCTATGAAAATTAAATACACATGTTACAGTCAACATATTCACCAAGACATGTGGCAGTATTCGTAGTTGTGGAATGACCAAACACCTAAAACAAACTTTAAATTCCTAACTGAATGAAAAAGATAAACACTGGGGTTGGAGAGATAGTTAAGAGCACCAACTGCTCTTCCTGAGGCCCTGAGTTCAATTCCTGCAACCACATGGTGGCTCACAACCATGTATATTGGGATCCGATGCCCTCTTCCGGCGTGCAGGTGTACACAGAGCACTTAAATAAATAAATATTAAAAAATAAAAGAAAAAGATAAATAGTAGTATGTCCACATGAGGAAATAATAAAATAAAAAACAGCAAGAGGAACAAAACTACACACAAGAACAACCTCACAAGCTAAAGATAGCTACAATAAGGCAGGATATGCCCTGTGACCCTGTCATGCAAACAACCCCCTCTGCCCTCCCTACCCTGGCCCTTCCTCTCTCCCAGGCTTGACTGCGGCCAGCCTCCCAGGAGAGACATCCACTGGCTGATTTTCTATTTTTAAGTAAATCCTTGGGAGTGCTCCATACATTTTTATAAAGAATCACATGAGTTTTAGAGACAATGCTTTTCAGTTATTACATCAAAGAAATCAATTAAAGGTCCATGTTGTATGGTGGGAATTAAATGTGTCCGGTGGATTGTTGAATTATTAATAAATTTTAGTTAAGTAGTTTTTCAGGTGGGTTCAGCACATGTTTGATTTGTGAGACTGTAACAGTGGTATCGGTATATGCCAGTTTGTAGGGAGAGCTGGCTGAAGACTGGGCAGGGCACTGTGGCATGGACAACAGAATGCATAAATAACCCAGAGCCCTGACAGGACTGACGACAGCTGCATCGGGAGAGTGGCAGAATGCAACATGCCAGCTGATGTGACCATACAGAGCAGGTGACTGTTCTCTGAGCGCTGCTCCATGTCCTCGGCCTCCCCTGTAGCCCACTACAGACAGCGCCATGAGAGTGCTCCCCTTCTTTGCAGTATGTTTTGCTGCCTAAGTGGGTGCACAGGCCCTTACGGGGGAGGCTAGCTCAGAGTCATGTTTCATCTGTCCTTAGAGAGCTGTGGTCAAGACGGGGCCCCTGGGAGCAAGAGCAATAGCACCCTCCATAGTGGTCGCATTTGGTTCTTTCTTTTTCTTACTACCATCTTCTCTCAGTGCTTTTCAGAACCACCTTCCACATAAATCAGCTGCCACACACGCTTGTATCTGGAGAAAACTGAAGACAGACATCCAAGAAAGCAATCCGAGGCAATTGTTAGTTTTGGGCAATAGCTTTTATAATGGCAGTCAGGAGCTTTCCAAGCCGCCCGTGCCACATTCACAGTTCAGGCCCATCTGTCTCACCGAAGGCCCTGTGAAAATATGCTGTGTGCCAGGGCCTCCTTGCAGTATGTTTGGGGAAAGTAAATGGAAAGTCTAAAGTTTCCTACAGGGCTCTATGTGAAGAGACAACAGGAGGCACCGAGACAAGAATGACGGAGACTCAGAGGTAGCAAGAGCTGGTGCCTGGAAATAACGTGGTACCCCAGAGAATTCAGATGTAGTGATAGAGGTTTTCTCCTCAGGGGCTGGGAGAGTGGCTCCAGCCATGGTATTTCAATATTAAGGAAAATGATGATCAAATGGAAGCCTTGAGAATAAGCAGATGGCTGATGTGGTTTTCATAGCCATCAGTCTTTGAACTTCCTTCTCTGGGGCTGGAGTAAGGTCAGAGAGAACACACAAATCCCCTTCATGGAGGGCAATGGCTGGCGTGTGGCCTGAACAAGAGAGGCACTGTTCACAGTTTGGGTAGACTTCAGTGAATAACCTAGACTGCACTGGCTGTGTATGGGAGCACGGGGGTGGTGACAGTTACTCTGAACTCTAAGAACCTGGATGATGTGAGCATGTGAGACTGTGGGGCAGTCCTGGGACACAGTACTAAGAGTGAACTGAAGTGAATTTTGCACCTCATATTTTTAATTAAATGTATTATTAATTTTATATAGTAGTAAATGAAAACAAGAGAAAATTTGAATTTTACTTGAAAAAAAAACTATGTTGTATTTGGAAAATTTATGAGCCACAAAATGGTTAATTGTTTCATAAACTTAAGACATTATGCTTTAATGAATTATTCTAAGCGGATATTTTTTACAATGAACATTGATGTCAAGGTGACAAAAGCTGCTAAAAGCAAGTGATTTAATCCCACTCTTTACAGGATTCTGTTTGGCACTGAAGTCCGAAAGCCAATGAGGTTCTTCTTCCTTGAGAAAACGTAGTCATAACTCCAGGGTAGTCTGTTTTGCCTTGTCTATCTGTAGCTTTAACAGTTCAATATCCAGGGACAGCTTGAATACCTCCAGGGCCATTTTCACCTCATTTGAATTTGGCAGACATTGCATAATTCTCTTGCCTGTGAACACGTGATCACAGTATTTAAGGGCCTCCTGAAAGAGATGTAGGTTTGGGATAGCAGTGAGTGGCTTCCGCTGATCATCAAGAAATAAGAACAACAGTATATCACTGCATGGTCTAGGGAAACAGGAGGCAGTACTCCTAGGTCCATGGAACCCACTCTTTGTGGGGTTTCATGTCCTCAAAGGAAAGCAGAAAAATGTTTTCTGTGCCAACTCACCAAAGGACTTCGAGGAAAAAAAAAAAAGCAGGTTCTCTGAATAACTTAGAAATGATCTGCAACAATCCAGAAGTCAGTACTGGCTGGGAAAAAATTAGTTTAGTGTTTGGTGGCACAGAACTTCTTGATTTCCGTCACTCACCTGCTCACATTTGGGCACCTCTGGGTACCAGGCTCCATTCTCTGAACAAGTGATGATTTGGGAACCTAGCATGGCAAAGCCAGAGTAACACTGGACGGTGACATTTTCAGATTCAATGTACTCTTCTTTATTGGCAGACAGCATTCCATTTCTTATCGCTGGTCTCGGGCATAGAGCTGTAATGCAAACATGTTTTAGATAATTGCAGTCTGGGGCAGAAGACCTGATAACAGTCTACAGTAAAAAGAATGAACTGAACTTGTGTGTAGCTTCTGCTTTCCATTCAATTTCTTAGCAAAATATGGATGAGCATTTTTGCTGAGCATTTGTGACAGACTATGTATACAATATGACTTTGACTTAAGTTTCAAGATACTCCTGCTAAGTGAGTTTATTGTTTTGCTATTTTATGAAGAGAAAATTCAGATACAAAGAAGGTAAGAAACTGTCCATGATAGGATATTTGTAAAAGTGTATATGACCCCAGATTCTCTCTTAACACATTAACTCTGACCATAAATAGTTCTTTGAGATTCCAATCATAAAGCTCTGATATTTTTCTGTGTCAAATATATTATGATTACTATGAATATAGTTATATTAATATTATGTTAACATAAAATTAGACCTAATCCTGACTCCTCCTGCTCCCTATAACTAATCGGCACTGGGTTTTCTCAACACACATCATCTACATCATGGTAGATGGTACCTTGGCAGAAGTTCTGATAGCAAAATCTGTGGCTCTAATGTTTGAGTTATCCCAACAGTTATCCCAACACTGATGCCAGAACAAGTTTTGTTAAAAATTTTGTACATGTCTATGGAAGTAATCATAAAATGTTTGGCTCTAAAATATTTCTGAAAACATATATAGGAAATTGAGAATATAAGCTGCCTCAAGAAGGTTGATACTTGTGACTGGGAGAAAATGGTAGAGGGAAGTGATGTTGGGTATAGTTTTGTGGTTTTGTGTGGAACATCATCTGTTTATGTTAGTTATTGCAAATAGATAAACTTGGCTCTACCAAAGATCACACAGAGTGTGAAAAGTCAGGGTAGGCTGCCCCCCTGCCAAAACCCCCTACTCTCTCACTATCTAGGCACCCTCCCACCCTTTCCCCAATTCCAGCATCCTACTAGCTGCCTTGCCACAGCTTCCAACTGGGGCAGAGACTCCCCACTCTATCAGAGACCACACAGATGGCTAAAAGTCCAGGTAGGCTACATGCCTGCCTGTCTACCCACCCTATCCCCAGTCCTGAACCCTCCCAATTGCTGTATCCCATCCCCCAACTGAGCTGAAGACTCCCCTTTCTACCAGAGACCGTGCTTGCTGCCAGCAGCCCAGCTCCCAACTCTAGTGGAGACTTTTCTCAACCCCTGACCAGAAGACCAGAGAGGAAACAGAAACCAAGGAACAATACACCTATCCAACAAAGACAAACTCAGAAATCTCTACCCAGACCTACAATCACTCTAAACCAGATGCCTAGAGGTCAGTATGAGAACAAAATCAACAATAGCTAAGGCAATATGTCAGCAGTAGCACCTAGCTGTCCTACTACAACAAGCCCTGAATATGCCAACACAACAGAAGTTAAAAAAAAAAAGAGGAAATGAATAAATTCCCCAGAGAAATTCAGGAAAACACAAACAGTTGGAGGACATGAATAAACCCCTTGAAGAAAGTCAAGAAAAACATACAGTTGAAGGAAATGAATAAAACTGTTCAAGACCCAAAAATGGAAATAGAAGAAATAAAGAAAGCAAAAATTGAGAAAATCAGGAAATTAAAAATCTAGGTAAGTGAACAGGAACCACAGATGTAAGCACCACCAACAGAATACAAGAGATGGAAAAACTAATCTCAGGCATTAGATACTTTGGTCAAAGAAAATGTTAAATCTAAAAGTTCCTGGCACAAAACATCCAGGGAAGCTGGGACACTATGAAAAGACCAAACCTAAGAATTATAGAAATAGAGGAAGGAGAAGGTTCCCAGATCAAAGGCCCAGAAGATATTTTCAACAAAATTATAGAAAACTTTTTAGCCCAAAGTCAAAGATGCCTATAAAGGCACAAGAAGCTTACACCAAATAGATTGGACCAGAAAAGAAAGTCTCCTCGCCACATAATAATCAAAACACTAACTATTCAGAAAGAAGAAAGAATGGAGACTCTAAATCCCAAAGGGCCTGGACATGTTCTGAAGAATCTAAGAAACCACAGATGCCAACCTAGACTACTACACGCAGCAAAACTTTCAATTACCACAGAAGGAAAAAACAAGATATTTCATGATAAAGTCAAATTTAAACAACATCTATCTACTAATCCAGCCCTACAGAAGGTACCAGAAAGAAAATTCCAACCCAGGGAGGTTAACTACACCCAAGAAAGCACAGGATAATAAATAAATAATAAATATAAGTAATAAATATAAATAATCTCACACCAGCAACACCACACACACACACACACACACACACACACACACACACACACACACAC